AAAAAAAAACATGAAAACAAAGGTGCTCAACCGATCCGGAAGCTCACCGATCATCGGGGCTTATTATCATGGGCTTTGATGGGCTTTGTACTATTTCTATGGAACTGCATTTGAGCAAACTTAGTTAGCAAACAGAGCTGCTCAAGCTCATTCTTCTGTGTGTGCGTGTGGGGCATGTCAGTCAGGCTTGACGTATCAGGAGATGAGATCATTGGAACGACCACGTTCTCGTTTTCAAGATTATCAACACGGTAATGTCACAGATTGAAGAAGAAACGACAGAATGCTACAACCCCTAAACAACCAAGGAGTCCAGACAGCCAAAAGCCCTTGACTGATTGGAGGACTGGCCCTTGAGCAGGGAGAAGAAAATGAGTAGATCGGTGTTTTTTGATTTGTTCGTTTCGAACTTCCGCTCATCTGTTGCTCCCTTCGACCGGTGCCCGTCAAGCGCTCACCCCTTGGGCCCATGCCACAGCAAGGCTGAAGGCTGAAAGCGCGATGAGCCCCAGCGCCTAAGCGATTTGGAGCTCGATCTCTCGCAACGAGTCGCCGCCGAGTCTCTGTGTCTTTCAGGTGAGCGGGTATGAAAGACGCATAGTGAAATAACTGCGGATATACATGTGTGCAGTATACCACGCGCACTACCACGCACCTAAGCCGGGATTTGGAGTTTGTAAATGGCCTTAAATGTGTTTCACTGATCTTTTGAGAATCGGAGTGTCTGCAGGTTTGCTGGATCTTTGGATTGGATGCTGGGAATTATTCAGGTGGCAGATATTCTATAGTGTCCATTTCTCACGGCAGAAAGAGGAAGTGTCACTGGGTGACTCGAAGGTCGCTAAGGTTTTCCGCTAAATCTATCCCACATGCTAACCCTTGAATCTTGGCCGACATTATTTTTCCTTTGGGAGCCGTTGATTCCGGAGCCTGTGGGAATCCCTCCAAACATCTTGGACCACAGAAGAGACTGCCGTGTGATGAAAACGACCTGCAGTGTTCCCGATGGAAGCTGAGTCTTCGAACAAAGCACATGCCCACCGCCAGTGAGAGGAAAGGATCTTCACGGCCTCGAGTGGCACGTGGAGGGAAAGGACATGAAAGGACTATGAAAGGACTATATATAATAACGAGTCTCACAAAAGTGTTTGAAAACAAGCACGCTGAAGCCATGGTGCTTCCAGTTGCTCTCATTGGACATGACATGATCTAAACACTTGTTCAAGGCCAAGCAGGAACGGTGATGGCTAAGTACTGACGCATGGCTTCTCTCAATCATTCATACCCTCAACTACTTGGTGGGACACTTGGTGACTGCATTGTAGACCCTAAAACGTGGGTCTAAAATCTTATTCACTAGGCCTTTTGGCCAATCGTGCGTTGGTGTTAGACCCCGAGACTAGGGTATTCTGGAAAGGGTCTGAAATGATTTTCCCTCGCTAAGGGAAAACCAACCTAGACCCCTATCATTCAACCTCACATCCAGCTATAAAACAATTATGCGAAAATTGAGCCACTACACAAAGCTTGTGGCATCGAGCTCTTAAAACGCTTAAATATATATGTTATGATTTGTAATGATTTGTTACAAAAAATCGTGAATTTCTGAATCCCAGAATGCTCCATGAAACTAAAAGCAT